AAAAGGTGTGAAACAGGAAAGTGGACTGGGAATAATGAAATTGTGCGTTGAAACAAGAATTAAATCTAATTATATAACCCATGAGAGCTACTATGGAAAACTCCCCACGCTCCCCATTGGTGCCTGATTGATTGATCCTCATGGTTTACACCTCCCGACACAGAGCTTCCTGCCAGGGATGCTCGTCATGTCTTGTTGGGCTCATGGCCGTGGAGGAGCGTCCGTGCAGAGGACCCACGTACAGTGACACGTGTCTGTTCACGCGCCAGCGGCAGTTGGCAAGTATTTTGCAAACACAAAAATACCTGGCCAGAGACAGCAATTATTGGTTGATTTTAACTAGGGATTAAAATAAAGAGTCATCGCTTCCCGGTCCATTTGTGATGCCAGTTTTCTTCCTGAGTCGTACCCTGTGGGTGAGTTCAAAGGAGGATTGCTAGTTACAGAACAGAATAATTGCTCTGTGTTCCCAGGGCCACTGTCATTTTGTGACGGCTTGTGTCAAACTGCTCACGGTTTCAAGTACAGTGTTGTCTGGCCGATTCCTTGAACAAAAATTGATGTGCCCAAACAGCATTGACTCTGTGTGTTTGTTAACTTAAAAATCGGTGTTTAACGATGGTACTTATAGTTGTCACCGTCGGCGGCCAGAGCCGAGTCCGCGAGGAACCAGCTCCCAAACGCCACCCTCTGTGCCAGGAGCTCAGGGCCCCAGCGGTCTCCACCGCGTGGATTCTGAGGAGTCCAGTTTCTTTTGCCTGAAGCCAAAATGTCCCCGGGCAACTCTAGCAAAAGATGTTTTACTTTGGAAACAAAGTTGTCGCTCAAGTCTGGCGGCCACTTGCGGCTCCTTGTTAATGTCTGAATCTGCACAACACGTTTGCCGCGTGTCCATTACTTACTTCAAATGAAGGCTCCCTGTTCAATTTCTTTTATTCTCTTTTCTTTTTTTATACTTTTTAAAAAATGTTTATTTTTGAGAGAGAGAGAGAGAGAGAGACAGAGCATGAGCAGGGGAGGGACACAGAGAGGGGGAGACACAGAATCTGAAGCAGGCTCCAGGCTCCGAGCTGTCAGCCCAGAGCCCGACATGGGGCTCGAACCCACAGACCATGAGATCATGACCTGAGCCGAAGTCGATGCTCAACGGATTGAGCCACCCAGGCGCCCCAGTTTCTTCCTGGTTATCATGGTGAGAGCAGGCTGGCACTCTACAACCGGGTGTGTCCAGGGAGTTGTTGGTCTCAAAAGCCCAATCTGTATCTCACGTCTGGAAGCTTCCAACAGTCATGTTTCAAATGAAGAAGGAGAGTCTTTCTCAGGGACGTTGCTCACTGAAGATCAAGGCAAAAGCCTCTAGTATTTCGGTTTGTTTGCACTATGTCATGAAACCAACGTTTTCTTTGAATACAATTGAATACAATTGGCCATTTTGGGATATTTCATAAGTTTTCACCAAATTACAGCCAAATCTCATTAGTGAGTATAAGATCACTGGGAAAGGGCAGGGGAGGATTTAGCAGATGCCTGGGAAGATTCATTAGGATTAGATTCCAATGTTAATGAAGGAAAGTCACCTTGGAGTCTGTCCCCATGGGGGCTCATCAGCTCTGGGCAGGCTGACCTGGGGTGCACCCAGCACCTGGGGTGCCTCCCTCCATGTGGCTGGGGTCACAGCGGCAGGGACAGACCCTGCGCTGGCAGCGAGTGCAGTGAGGAACCATGCAGAGCGCGGGGCTTCGAGGCAGAGACGGGCAGTGTGGGGAGAGGGTGATCTCTCACTGGGCATGGGCACCTACGGTCTCTGCAGTTTCAGAACAAAATCTCGCAGCTGGCAAGGAAAGACATCCTCTGGGGACTCTTCCCCCTCTGCCCCTGTCTTTGCCAGGTGTGAGAGCCATTTCTCAGGCTGACTCTGGCTGTCGGCAACCCTGAGGAGCAGGTCAGGTCTCCCCCTGGACCAAGAGCAGGCGTCCTTCCTGCTGTCTGTACCGGGGGGCCCCCAAGTTCAGGGATCCCCAGCCGTGCTGCAAACACAGAGCATGCACGGCCTCGGCCCCCACGGCAGCTCACGGGCCCCTGGGAAGTCGACGGTATGAAGGTTTTCTGATCCCAGGTTCCTACCTTTGACCAGCATGATTGCAGCAGTAACAGGCCGGCTCGTCAGCTTATACGTAAAATAAGAACATCTATGACCCTGCACAGACCAACGACACTACTGTAGTTGAACATAAGTGTGAAATCACAACTCTCTCAACCGCGGTGTCTCCAGCACAGTGCCCAGGACCTAAGTGGTGTTCTACAATTATGTAGTGAGTCAGTGAACGGCGGATAGGGACACAGAAGACTTAGGTCCCTTCGTTCACCCAGATGCTCACCGATAAGTGTGTGTAAGAATACTGTGAGCATGTGGTCACTGTCACATGCTTTTTTGGGAGCGGGAGCCAGAGATGGAGGATGTCAATATATTTCTTATGCTCAGAAAGCTCACAGTCTGATCTCAGGCCAGTGAACAGGTGCATTCTGCTTATGTGGCATATGATGATGGATTAGATGCAAGGTTGAGCACCGTTTTGGGAAAAGAGAGAAGAAAGTGATCAGCTCACTTGGGAAGCATGAGGGTGGCTGTCCAAGGAGATGGCTGGGGTCACGTGAAAGCGTGGCAGGAGTCTGTTAAGTCCATGGAGGCGAGGTCCCAGGGCAGAGCTGTGACACTGAATGCTGCAAGAATTTGAAACTGCTGGTGATTGTCCCAGCGGGAGCCCCGGAGATGGGAAGGCATTCAATGATGGAGAGTCCCACCAACGTGAAGAGGAGTCTTCAGATGTTTCAACCAGGAGCCGCCCTTGGGGGATCTGGATCATAGAGACAGCATTTCGGCAGGTGACAGGGAACAGCCCAGTGGGACACAACGGGAGCATGCGGAGAGGGGGTCCTGGAGGACTGTGTGACTGGTCTGACGAGAGCCAGAGGGAGGGACGCCGGCCACCAGCGCTCTAGAGTGGTGTCCCCGGTGCTTCCGGACAGGGGTCTGTGTTGGGAGAGACAGGGGAAGGCTGGTCGGGGAGGCTGGAGGAAGGGGCTGGGGGGGCCGCAGGGTCCCGAGGGATCACTGGTGTTTTGCATCCCAGTGGGGTGTCTGTCACAGGGGCTGGGACAGGAAGACCTGCCCGTGGAAACACACACGGAGGTGCGTGTTTCGAGCGTGGCCTGCATGGTCACTGAATCTCGGCTTTGCAAAGTGTGTCGTTTGTGGAAAATTGAATTTTTCACACTCTATGTTGTCAAAGCCCATAGCGGTGTAATGAGATCACGTGCAAATGGACTTTCATCGGCACTGGACTCTGATTGTTCAGAGAAAATCCATCTAGTCCGTTTGAAACCACAGCAGTCCCATGGTGCGCTCCCAGGAACTCGAGGTGGCGTCATTTGGCGGGATGCCAAAGTTTGAAGTCGTGTCTTCTGAAATCATCACTTCTTTCCTGGTACAACATCTGTGCGATGCTCTTTGCCATAATTGGGAGTCAAGTAACAATTCTCTGAACATACTAAGTGATGCTGACTTAAGAGCTCACAAAACAAAAATAAACAAAAATAAAGAGCAGAAATCTTTCCAGTGTCCTGATTTTCAAAAGGCAACTTGTTTAAAATCTCACATAACGGAAAGCAAGTCAAAAACATCCAAATGGTTGCCTCTGACTTTTCCAATCGCCGCTTCTTGTTTTGAGGGTGTTGTTGTTTCTAGTCAATGGGCCGTTTGGGGGGCGCGTTGCGGCTTCTAGGGAGGCCGAGGGGACCAGCTGAGTTCTCACCATCACCCCACCCGCTTCCCTTCCTTTGTATTGGGCTGACTTCTGGGAAAACAGCGTTAAACCACTGTTTAACTGTTAAACGATTCGTGTGGATTGAAGTGCAGTTTTCAGTCTAATGCCAAGTAAGTGAAAACTTTCACCGAAGCATTTTGGGACTAAAACGCATATATATACAGGAAGCCTCCTTTTTGCTCTTGACAAGCGTTACAGAAACAGGGCAAGTGGACAACTGAAGTATTAGGCGTGTGCCTTTCTTTTAGAAATGGCTTCTCTGAACAGAAAACTGCTGTAAATGGTGGCGGTTGCCCAGTGAGTTCCGCAGGAAGGGCCCTGTGTGGAGTCAGCCCCATCTCACCCAGCTCCACGTGCTGCCACAGGGTTCCTCCGCTGATTGTCACACGCACGGGGTTGCGGGGTGGGGGGGGGGAGGTTTGGCTCAGCACCATCACCTCACCTACCAACCTCAGCGACAAGAGCAGGGAGAGGGAAGGAAACGGTGCTGAGCATGGTCCCCAGTGACCCCAGGGGCAGGGGTGCCAAGCTGTCCTTCCCCGGGACCTCCGCTGGTGCTTCCTTGGGGCTCGGAGGGGCAGACTCGAGAAGGAAGCCCAGGCACGTCTGACCACGCAGGTAGAGGGGAACTGGTGCCTGACCAGCGTGGGGGACGGCCCGCTCCACCCCAAGAGACAGAGCACACTGCATCTCTGGCACTGGCTGCTTGGTGGCGGCCAGGGTCTCCTCCTCCAGGCAGGCCTCCGCCATTCCAGGCGGGGCCCCCACTCTTCTGGGGTGGGGGGCTGAGTCCCTGCAGACACAGCACCCGGCCTCTCTCATGGAAGCCTGGGTCTGAGACTCAGCATCATGACCTAACAACGTGTCTCCTCTCGTTGCAACTCAAGAGAGTCTAAAACAACCATTAACTAAATACCGTAGTATTTATTAATTTTAAACTCATTTCAATCTGTGTCATTTTTGCATACATATGAAATCTGTAGCCTTAATAAGTGTCCATTTCTTCTTAGTAGATAGAGAAACCGAGGCTAGTTCAACAATGAAATATATAATGGGGGAAGGGTGCCCTTGTCTGTGATAAAACTCTTTGGTCTGTATCATTTTTTTCTGAGTTTAAAGTAACACGAGAATTCAATAAAAAGTAAACATTGCTTTTCTCAAAAAATTTAATTGCAGAACTATTTACAAGAGGTGGACATCAGCAATACAGAGATCAAATGAGAGAGGCCTCATCAGAGGAGAGTCGATGGAGAAAACGGTGGGCACGTTTTCCTTATAATCGGCTGAGCGTGGGGAGAAAAAAGTCACGAACAAAGAGAACTCAAATAATGCAACCTGGTGGCGTCTGAAAGAAATGACCAACATCCTGATACGTTATTAACAAGAAGCAAGACGAGGCGGTGACGGACCGCGGGCCGCACGTTCCCGTCGGGTATTCTGCATGCTACTAAACAGAATTTGTCAAAAGAACCATAAAAGCATGAGAGAGAGAAGTACGTAAAATAGCTGGGTCCCAGTGAGGTGTAACTTTGCACAGAGGCGAGTATTTGGCACTCTGCTCATCCTCGTTGATATGGTTTCATATGTATATATATTTATATATATATGTGTATATATATATATATATATTTATATACTTCTTTTTAAAACTTGAACTAAACAGCTAGTTTCCTGGTTCTAACGTTCCTTGAACTTCTATAGGAGGCATTGAATTTAGTCCTTAGGCCACCCCTGGGTATTTTGGCACGTAACATGGAGGTGGGTATGTGAACTGGTCTCTAGACAGGAAGGACCTGTACAAGAGGAAAGTGGCTTAGCGATCGGAAATCTGAGTTCAAAAGTAGCCTAGGATTGTTTACTACTTGTGGGGGAAACCTTTGAATTCAGCAAACCAGTTATAACGTGGAGGGAGGGAGACACATGCTGAGCCCTTTTACCGTGATGTGGTCCTAACGCTGGGATGGCAGGGGCGGGGCGTGGGCGTGAGTTGGGGGAAAACCAAAGAATGGTGAGTGGCGTCCATAAAGGACCACAGACAGCCTCTGAGCTCCCTTCACGTGTGTTGGCCGAAGCACAGAGCACACCGTCTACTGGCAAGAGAGAGATTTGTACTTAAATTGGCACAAGAAACCGGGCCGACGTCGTTCGTCATGACCCCTCCCCCACTGAGTATGTGAAAGCTTGGACTCCCAAGCCTTTCAGGTTCGGAATAAGCACCCATGATGAAGAGTCACATAAAATCTAAGAAAGTAGGGCGGTAAGCCTCTGTTACCTTAGTTGGTGTATGTACAAAATCTCTTTAAAAAGTACTGGTGGAGTAGGTAACTAACGTTTCCTCTGCAGAGAAGTCACCTGTCACGTGTTTACACTGAAACTTGAAATAATTTCTTCTCACGCTGGATAGAAATGCGAGGGTTAGGGTTAGCGATTCATAAAGTTACGGACACGTCGCAATGTTGCAGGGATGAAAAGATGGGTGTTTCTTGGAGCGTTCCCGTGGACCACTTCTGCCTTCTCTGAAGCCTGAGCTAGAACAATCACAAAGAGTTGGAATCAGAGGGGCAGATGTTGCAAACCTTCAGCAATTTCGGTCAGTCTGTCTGATTCCATTCTTGATGTGCTCCCAAATTGTGTTCCTTCACCCCTTGAACACTGGGCTTGATAGCCATCCACGCATCTAAGATGCCGCTGACCTTAAGTAACGGCGAAGACGTTGCCTAATTCTGGGCGGCATCTGGTTCTCTGAGATATTTATGAATGGACCTGACTTTTGCCAGCGTCCCACACCTGGTGGGGAGGACTATTGGCCAGAGGGGCCTGGGCCTCATCTTGAGCGGTAATTCAGGCTTTTGCCACCAGTCCTCAAGGAGCTTGGAGGATTTTGGAGCCCACAGGACATTGATTTTCATAATCTGTCTGCGAGTGAGACAAGAGACAGGAGGAAACAGACATGAAATGAAGTCTGGCTGATGTATGACTGGGAGCCGGGTTGTTTGATGGGTCAGCTAGTGATTTTCCAAAACATTGTGCGGCCACTCTGTGCTGACGGGCGTGTTGTCGGGCGTGTGGAAGGGCACCTCTCCTCCAACACTCGGTCACCTTCCCTGCCTTACTGAGACCGTCAGCACAGCACAGGGGCCCTGATATAACAGACACGGGAGGGGTTCGGAGTGAAGCAATATGCCCAGTGCTCCAGCCACTCAGCAGCAGACCACATCCCCGATCTCTTCTGCTTGTGGTTTTCTGATCTGTTTTCAAGTTTTGGCATCCTGTATTCAACCCAAACTTTCAAAGGGTAAACAGATACGCAAATGAAAACAAAAGAGAACCCTCGGGAAGTTCCAAGGGCACGTGGCTTGGAGACCACAGTCTGCAACTGCCTGATTAGTGTGTTAAATTTGCAGTAGAAAAAAAAAGAATCCGTGGTCTTGAGAAGAAAGGAGGCGTCTGGGAAAGCAGCAAGGAGTAAGTGTCGAATTTGGCTTGAGGCGGGTTTCTGGGGGGACCAGACTCAACACTTGTTGACTTGTTGGCAGCACTGTTCTGGCTTTCAGCAGTGGGGGGTCAGATGCCGCACGCAGGCGCCCTCCCACGCGGGCACACTCAGGTGGGACATGCCACGTCCGTACGCTTCCTGCTGACACCACCGAGATGTTGGGGGGCCTCTCTCATGAACAGCAGCCCAGCCATTCTGTGCAGCCTGGGGACGCGCCAGCTCCCAGGCTGACTCCAAACAGTAGCACCCGACCTCCTGCCCAGCGAAGGTTCTGGTAACACGCTGGCTGCCCTTCCCAGCAAAAACCCGACTCGGTGTGGGCTGGTGGTCCTCTAAGAGGCTCCACGGGCCACACGAGGTCCGGTCTGGCTGTACCAGCCTTCTGGCAAAGACCATGACCCCTCTCACCCCTTCCTACTCGCCAGCAAGAGGTCTGGCCCAGAGCAGACAGCGGTTCCGACGGGCGAACACACAGTCACCACGGGAACCTTGGCCGACGGCTGCCGGGTGACGACTTTCCGGAAAGTCCGTCCTGGGTGGGGCTGGGGCAGGGTGTCTGGCAGGGCGGGAAGTACGCAGCCTGGGGTCTTTTGACTGGCGTGCAGGGACCGTGTTGAGAAAGGCAAACATCTGGAAGACACAACCCCAGAGCAACGATCGCGGCCCGTACGTCTGAGTACCCCCTTCGTTGCCTTCCCGCTCTAAGTCTGGCTTCTCCACGGGAGCCGGTGGGGGGGGGGAGTCCCCCCACTGGGGAGGTCACTGACTTCGTGGCTATGTCTTTGTGTTTGCATTTTTAAACAGGGAGCCTTAGATGTGATTATTTTCTCTAACGGTACACTTTTCTGTTTAATGCTAGAAGTCTTTAGTATTGATCTTGAGGTGAACACATCAATGTTTCCTTTTAAACAAAAGTGTAAATTTTTGGTATCCTACAACAGTTCCATTCTTTATCCACTGTTCTAGGGCAGTCCTACACGTTTGCGGAGAGGAAGTGGTAACAACCGTTACCGGTGACAACGCAGACGGTGCACGCGACGACGACAAACGAGGATGGGGGAGAGGAGTTATGTGCAAAGTGCTCTTGTTCCCAAGCGACATTCACCTGCTCGGGCTTCGTGGAACTTATGGGTCCTGTTTATCATACTTGTGTTTTGATTTTGAAAGTTAAACTGAAGCCTTCAGCGTGGCGATGCTGCCGTGAGCAAAGCGCTGTGTCAGCTCGTGTCTCAACAGTTACGCGGGGTCTTCGGGGAAGAACGCTGTCCGATCTGAGCGTCTCCAGCGTACGCAAAATCTCTTACCGAAACGATCTCCATAACGTGGTGAGACGGCCACACTACAGGTCTGTGGTGCGTGTCTGCCAGAAGTGCCAGAAACAAGTTGGTTTGATTGACTAACACAAGTATTATAAACAGTTTTATTTTTCGTTACATGTACAATATGTAAACATGGCTTATCTGCATTTCACGGTGGGATGTCGCCTGTGTGAGAAGTGAAGATATTGCACTGAGTCATGGTGGCAGGTGACACTGCCTGGGGGCCGGCGGCAGTCCCTGGCTGCGTGTCACACGACCTTCTTTGGGACTCGGTGGACCGGACAGGGGTTCGTACGCACCCCCCACTGCGAATCGGTGGCCACTGTCACGTTTAGCTACAGGTTAATCTGCTCACCCAGGGGTAGTTCAGGCCAGAACTTTTGGGGGATTTTAAGATAAAAATGAGTATACAAAACATAAAAAAAAAAATCCAAATTCAGTGAACACTTTCATTCAAGTCAGGGTCAGAGAAGCTGGGATCTAGAATAGTTGTTGTCTAATCTTAGAATTTGTCGTTAGACGTTTTGTACAAGCTGCAGGAAATGAGGTAAAATGCATCAGCGGCCAGTGGATTTACATGTGTCAGCAGGTCTGGGCGCATGTGTGCATTTTACATTTCCTCTCCCTAAGGGGTCTACACTGACTTTGCTTTTCTGTGGCTATTTGTAAAGAGCAGTTCATCTTAAATAATACATCATTTTTAAAGTCTAAAATGCCAATACTTGCAAATACATTTGTTTGTAACATAGTATAGTGAGTATAGGAAGAAGTGTCGTTACTGTATACTACTCAGGATTTAAATATTTATTTAGGTAGAAAAAATGCTTTGAATACTCTGGGGAAATAGGATTCACTTATAGAAGAATATTTCAGGGAATTTTTTTTTTTTTGCATTTTTCAAGGATATACATTCGTACTGATTTTTGCTTCCAAATATATTTTAAGGCTGTTTGGTAAAATATACCAGATATGAGGCTCAATTTACAGGGTTTTGTTCTTACAGGGAATTCTTAACTACTCAGCTTTAAAAAAGTAAGACTTGGAAGGCCAACATGCTTTAGTATCAACTGTGCTCCAGTGAACCCCATGCTTGGTTGGATGGAGAGTATGAGGAAAAGAAAACACTGCAGGCCGAAGCAGCACCCCCGGGGGATGACCTCACTGGATGTCCTGCTGGTGTCACCAGGCTGCAGGGGGACCTGGGGGCATGACGGTGCCCGTCAAGCTGAGGAAACAAAGTGCCAGAGGAGGTAAGCCAGGGCCGCTCCGCCAGCCGAGTACACGGTACCTCTCCGGGCAGCGGGAAGGCCCGTGTTTGGGGAGGAAACACCTGTCCCCAGGTGCCATCCTGTTTTCACCTTGCGTTACAGTGGGGACTCCGAGTTTGGGATCCGAGGGAGAGATTTGACGGGCTCTTCCTCTGCAGACCCGTCTGGACAGGGACACAGGAAAGCGACGCTGGGATGACGGTCACTGCGTCTAAGCGTGATTGTACAAGTGGAAAGCCTTTTCATTCGAATCCTTCCTGCTTTGCTCTGGTGCCAGTCAGAATCCTGAAACCTAATTACTTTTCTCAGAGTCCACAGCTGGAAATCACCACATGTGACCTTTTTTTTTTTTTTTTTTTGTCATGTCTAAAACAGGCAAGAAATATTTTCTTGACTTTAGCGATACTGCATAGGACAAAAGAATTCTGGAAAAATACAAATGTAAGCTACATTTCTTCTTTACCATTTAAGCTGAGAGATACCACTCACATTCATATTTCTTAAACTTTTTACATCACAACTGTCATTTTAAACAAGCAAACTTTTTTTTTTTAAGGATACCCTGGAAAGTCAACTGATAGAGCAGTTTGAGAATATATATACATCCATAAAAAAAAATCACAGGTACATAAATGGGGACACTTACAGACAAGACCATGTGTGGTAGAAGTTATGAAGGAATAAAACATACGATGACTCTTTCATCGGAATAAGGGCGATTATTTTTCTCTTTACACGCCTGCTACAGGCCAGCCAGCCTTCTGTAAGACTCCACCCCTTTTCATGTGTCACTCCCTTGGGTGAATGAACACTCAGCTTATTTTGGGACTGTTAGATGCTGTGCCGGAGATTTCTATCGGGTTCAGACTTGTGAGCCACCCCTCCCTCCCCCCGCCGGGGGGTTTCTGGAGAACCGCATGGCAGGGAGTCGGGTGGCTGGAGAGATGGCTTCTCATAAACTCTGCACAAGGACCCTGGCGACAGGGGCCGGCTAGACTTGGGGGCAGGGGGAGGCGCCCCCAGGTGACAGGGGGTGGGGGTCTTTCTTGCCTGCACTTCGAGCTGAAGCAGTTTCCACTGGGGTGTCTGGTGAGTGGCAAGATGCACCCGTATCTAGTTATATGTTAGTCTTGCCTCGAATTGTCACACGCTTTATAAAAATATAAATAACAAAAATGTGAGCTGGGCTCCATCTCGAGAGGTGTTTCCTGTGATCCTCTGAGAACAGAGCGGATCAGGGAGGTGTCCCCACGCCTAGCTGGCACAGCTGACCACGGGTTAGACCATTGGAGGGGAGGGGGAGGGGGAGGAGGGGGGGGGGGGGGGGGGAGGGAAGAGGAGCTCTGGCCGGGGCTCGGCGCACGGCAAAAATGAACGCATTCCGGTGTGTCTATGGCACAGAGAACACAACAGGGTGTATTCGGTGGAGAAATGAGACTAAAATTAGCGGGTGGGTGAGAAACTGTACACGCATCTTGTTAAAAAGAAAAGAGGGCAAAGGTGCCCCTAGAGCCGCGTCTGGGCCTCCGGGATGTAGATCTCTATGCTGTCTGCGCGCTCCGAGGCCGAATTCTGGCGGAAGGAGGCGGCCCTCTTGGCAGCCATGAGCCGCCTCCGGGCTTCTTGACGCTGTCTGTCCGGCAGGTCCAGGGACTTTTCTCTCGTGACAGGAAATTTCCCTCTGGGGGGCTTCTTTGGTATTGGAGGGGGGACCTTTCTTTCTTCCTGAAAAGGATCACAGGTCAAAATTGGGGACATCAGAGGGGAACGGCGCCAGTCCACGGGCCTGGTCTCTGCGCAGGGTGACTGAAAACTGCCCGGGACACCACCCCAGTGCTTGACCGGCCCGGCCCCACGCCCCCAGCAGTGGCCTTGCCGCCTGCCTGCTGGACACCGTGACTTCCCCCACACCCTCCAGGGCAGGGAGAGGGGCTAGGTGACAGCCTTACACGTAAGGAACCAAGTCCCGCACGGTAACATGGAATGTGTCCTTGGTCTCAGGCTTATTTTCGTGCTGTTGCTAGATTTTTGCCACCTCTGAGCATTGGCAGATATTCACAGTTTCAGTTCTTGAGTATCCCAGGTATTTTGGAAGGTGTCACTTGATATCCCTGTCATATGCTACAGACTTTTCAGACTCCGGATTCTAAGGACCTTCATGGAAACCATCTTACATGGGGGAGCTGTTAGCCAAATTTGCTGTTATGGGCCTAAAACCCCTTGACATTGACTAGATAGATGATAGATTAGATAGATAGATAGATAGATAGATACATACATACATACATACATACATACATACATATGCTGGCTGGCTGGCTGGATAGATAGATATGGTGGATGGATAGATGGGTGGATGGATGGATAGACGGATAGGCAGATAGATATGCTGGATGGATGGACGGACAGACTAACAGATTTGGTGGATGGATGCATAGGTAGATGATAGATAATAGATTAGATAGATGATAGATAATATAGATAGATATGATGGATGGATAGACAGACATGGATGGATAGACATGGATGGATGGATGGACAGATTTGGTGGATGGATGGGTAGATGATAGATAATAGATTAGACAGATGATAGATACATAGATATGGATGGATGGATAGATAAACAGGTCTGAAGGATGGACAGATATGGATGGATGGACGGACAGATTTGGTGGATGGATGGATAGGTAGATGATAATAGATTAGATAGATGATAGATACATAGATATGATGGATGGACAGTAGATAGATAATAGATATGATGGATGGATGGACGGACAGATTTTTCACCTGCTTGGTAAAAACATGCAAGTAATTACTTTTGACCTTTAGCTCATATTCTTAAATAAGTCACAAAAGTAGGTGTAGGCCTTTTCCAGAAGGCTAAATCACACAGTTCTGCAGCAGATATGATATATAATGTTATATTGCGTCTTTACTGTTTTGGTGAAAGGTCTGTGTCCCCAACCCTGCCGTGTTATTTAACGTGCATCCTAACTAACAAAGCTGGACCCCACATGGACTGCCCTTCCCAGCGGGTGATGACAGGGCCCTGCATAGCCGACTACCTCCTTCCCAGGGAAGGACGCCTGGCAGAAGGCGCTGGAACCTTTCCTTTCCTGGGCAGGGCTCCAGTCGTTGGGGGAAAACCGCACCCCTGTGTCTCCCTTCAGCCTCTGCAAACATGCACATGGGCCAGACGTGCTAGGACGTTGTGGGGAAGGCACAGCTTGGGCAGACACGTGTGGCAGAACCCCACCCACCGGTTTTGGCAGGAAGGTTGTTTTGGCGTCTGACACTTTATTCCCATGGCTTATTTTTGAATGACTTGGCCAGAAGCAACGACTTCTTACTCTTTGGCAGGCATCCACAACAGCAGGGTAATGGGTTTGCTAAAGATTTCATTCAGTCTTTCAAAGGTTAGTTCCTAAGTGAAGCACATGACTGTATCTACCTCCCTATTCTTTTCTCTTTAATTGGTAGCCCC